GATTGTAACCCCATGACTAAAAATCCATTTAAAATGCAGGCTTATATTCACATCAGTGCCTAGATGGGTGACCACTTGGGAATATCTGATGCTGTAAGCTTGGATGTATGGGTGGTGTAATGGATAAAGACTTGGAATTGTTAATCGGAGAGTGGAGTTCCAATTCTCCAACTACTCCCCACTCTCTGTTGAAATCTTAATAAAATGCCAACTTGATTGTAAATAAGTTTTATATGGATTAAAAGATAATTCCACAAAAAATTAAGGTTAGTTTATTTTTAGGTGAACATAAAATTTTTTTTTTAAAAGGGTTGGGAAATATGTCCTGATAGGAAAATTTAAAATTGCAAAATAAAATGAAATACAGCTCTGTCTAGCAATCTTTTAATTTTGTCAAATCATTGTTGAAATTTAGTAGTTCAGTCTGTTCAGGATGTAGGCAATCATGGTTCTCCACAACTTCCTGTTCTTTGTAGCGCTTAATAAACTTTTGTCTTTCTGTTGTTTCTCCTAAACCCTGTTCTACCATCCATTTACTCAAGCTCACTAAGTATGTTATGCATTGTTTTCCTTAGTCCCTCTTGTCTTCAATCTTTCTTGTGAGTATCAGATTTTCCAAGCCCTCTTTCTGTGCCCCCCCTTGCTATCTACATTGAAGTCACTTATTTTTTAATAAAGATGTTTATTTTCTTCCTAAAATGCCGTTATTAAATAAAAGCTGTTTGAATAATCAGAAAATGAAAGATTTCATCAACAAAGATGTTCTATTGTACTTTTAGCAGGTTCTTTGGGTTTTTTTATGTGCTAATGACAGGATATGAGGTTAGTGGTAATGGGCGCTTCATTATGTAATAACCAGTTCATTTCCCTTTGATGAGTTCTTGCAAACACATCTCTTGATTGGTTTAGAGGTGATAGATATTTCTAATTTTATGTCCCTTTATACATAATGGAATCGGGAAAAATGATCTTTGGCTGCAATGTCTAAAAGATTCATAAGAATATCTAATGTTGATCAATACTCTTCCTCTCAAATCTTCAGATAATATTTTTTTTCATTTTATGGTTGAAAAATACGATTATAGGCAAGCATCGTGTTGGTAAAAAAAAGAAAAGAAAATGACAGAATTATTCACACATGACTCGGCACTTCTGCTTAGACTCTGGGTGTAAATGCTTGGCTGTTGGGGTTGGCATTCACGTGCTATATCTATTCCTCTTTAGTCATGATCTTGGTAGGATGCTACAAGCAAGTGAGGTGAGCCAGTTCCTGCAGATTCTGATGAGGGGGTGAGAGAAGGAAGCATCTCTCCCCTGCATCATTAGGAGTGACAAAGTATTACCTTTGCTCCCATGTGTCGTATTCAACTTCCATATATGAAAGTGATTAAATATCGAATCAGAGTATACACAGTGTGAAAGATAAATTATCATCTAAATTACACAAAAATTAAAATAACACTGACATCTCATTTTAACAGATATATTTACAAAAATATCTTAAAATACTAGAGTGTGAATTTATTTAATAAAATCACCATTGTCTTCAATCACTGCCTCTGGACAATTTTGGAATCTCTTGCATCTCTTCTGGACAGTCTTCTTGTTTAAGTTGGTGAGAGCTGCCATAATCCTCACCTTCAGTTCATCTTTGGTGTTACAAAGAGTTTTGTTGATCTCTCGCTCAACTGCGCCCCACACATAATAATGATCAAGGGGGTTGCAGTCTGGGGAGATAGATGGCTATATGTAAGGAGTGATGCGGTCACAGAAATTGTCTGACAGCCATAACTGGGTTCTCCTGCATGTGTGGTATGATGCAGAGTCCTGTTGCCAGACATAGGGTCTTCCCAAGACAGCACTACCTCCTCAAGCCACTTGATGTAGGCCTCCATGTTGAGTCTGAGATTGTGTGGGAAGATGAATGGAGGCATAACATCGCCATCACTAGTGATCACTCCAAATACCATGAGGTTGGCTTGATATATCATCCAACTTTTTCTGAATCCTTGGAACAGTTCTCAGATTGACAACCAAATACTCTGAAATGCATATTGGAGCTTCCGGCGCGGATGCCAAGCAGTACAGCATGCTGTTTTCAAATTTCTGATGGATTGAATTGCATTATAGTGCTCTTTTTTTCACAGATGATACCTAACTGACCCTATTATACTGTGCAGTCAACAAAATCAAAAACAAATAATGTGCATGGGGAAAATTAAAAATATAAAATGTTGACAATGTATATGTACACTCTGTTAAAAGTGTTTTTATATATATATATATATATATATATATATATATATATTAAGAAATGGACAAAGTCCGACAATTTATTTATTAAAGACATTTTTATGTTTAACGTTCTTTTTTCTTTTTTTTTTATAGATACAAGTATTTAAGTAAATGCTCTGTTTATAATAAACAGTATATTAAATAACATATACCGGCCTGAATGTCCGAGAAATTTTCATAGAAAATATTCGTCCTTTGACAGGATTGGAACCTGCATCCTATAATGAACCGTCATTTACGCTGGCGTACCTTAACCGACTCTCGGCCACAAAGGAGTTAGGTAGGCAAGGTGAATTTTACTGCTTATAAACTTCAATCTATCTATATCTATATATAGTAGTCCACTGCTATTAGGCTAAACAGTGGATTTTATAAAAATTTCTTTGTAATTTTTAAATTAGGCATGTAAATTTAGAATAAAAAATTAACTGTTTGGGAAATTTTTATTAGATACTTAGTGCAAGACTTAAATAGCAAATGACCCAAAATTTCTTATGGAGTCATTGGCATAAATTAGTATAATTATTTGAGGTTCTTTTTGAGCCATTATCTATGGTACATATCATGAAATAGGGCAAATAGTGTCCAAAAATCAGGTAGGTGTTTAACCTCCTATTATCAAGCTACTTGCACCATGGGTTGACCATCTTGGACTCCAAGGTCCACACTATTGAAGTGTACTACTGTATGCATATATATATATATATATATATATATACATACATACACACAGAGACAGTGTAACCACTGAAAAAATTAAGGGTTTGAAAAACTCATAACTTGTTCATTTTCAATCTTTACATTGTTCAAAGTTTGTAATATATTTATGAGAAATTAGTCATCATTATTAGGGAAAGAGCATTGAGGTCAACAGTGTGGACATAGGAATCAACACTGCATGGTGACTGTCAATTTCACAACTTAAGCTATTATCAGACATGGTCTGATGATTGCTTAAAGTATGAAATTGCTAGTCACTACGCTATATCCACAGGTTTTGCATGTGTGCATATACATACACATTTATATATTGACACACATACATATACCCCCACAGATACATATATACTGGCACACATACTCTCAAGAGATACATATATAGCTGCACAAAGATACACATATACCTGCACACACACACACACATGTACCTGCACGCAGAAACACTGGCATATTTACACCCATGCGTATTCACTACATACTCCCATGCAAATACACATATCTACAGACACACATATACCCCTATATACATATGTACATATATATCTCCTCACACACAAACATGCTTACATATATACTCAGATACACATGTGTAAAGAGCCAAAGAGAGATGTCATGTGATGATGACATCCCCAAGATGGAAATCTCTGTGCAACTGAAATGCAGACATCCATTGGATTGGCACCTTCGGTAATCAGTGCTTGGACAGCATTGATTCCAATCCAATGATCAAGATAAGCAACCAGGACCTGTGGTGCCACTTGATCATAATTACTTATCTTTATTCATTAGGAAATACAAAACGCAATTAGTCAGTGGATGGCAATCTCTTCCATGGATATTTCTGGAAACCAAGCATGAAATGGAATCATCCAAATAGATCGACATGAGGAATCGGAGATAAAGAGGGTGAGTAAGGTGTGTGTGTATGTGAGTGGGGGAGGGGAGGTGTTAATGTTTCCACCCCAACAAACAGTAATAAGAGTAACAAACAGTGTAAGACCATTTAACTACACCCCTAAATAAAAAAGTTACTCAAGGTCATATATATATATATATATATATATATATATATATATATATATATACACACAAACACACAGTAATCCACAGACACACTGTTTCACTGTATCACAACTCCTCAGTGTGGCTAGACGTACATCCGACTGCTTCAAGCTGAGATCGAAACCCGACTGATTTGACATTAGTCAGATATCTTCCCCCTAGGACATTGTTGCAGTAGGAGCCACTGTTTTTAAAATCCCCTTTGCCCTAGAGAGCTCAACCGGATTTGTGGGAGTGTAAATATATATATATATATATATATATATATATATATTTTTATTTTATCCCTCAGTGGTAGCATGACTCAGAGTTTCATGCACAATGCAATCATCAGGGGCTGAGTATAGTCTATACTCAGTACCTAATGATTGCATTGTGCATGAAACAATGCCAAGTTGTGCTATTGATGAGGGATAATATGTATATTTATTAGTGGATATACATAGTATCCAACATCAATAACACTACTCGGAGTTTCATGCAGGTTATGCAATCTTCAAGTGTGGATTCTGACTGTTATACCCGCCCCCACACACACACACAAACACATATATACCACAGAAATATTTATTAATATATACTTAGTAACTCTGTTATATTACATCGAACACTGTTTTATTACCACCAGCATTTTATGTGTGATATTATATATATATATATATATATATATATATATATATATATTACAATGGATTTTATTTTTTTATTAATCCAACAGATTTTTATCACTTTAAACATTTTTAGTAGATAACCATATTTGTGTAGATGCTCTGTTTATTTATTAAGCAGTATATTTATCTATTTATTTACGCCTACCAACCTGAATGTTCAAGAAATGTTATTAAAGAAAAATTGAGCTCTCCAACAAGAATCAAAACTGTGTCCCTCAGGGTAGAGGGAGCTACAATTTAGCATGGCATGCCTTACTGACCGCCACATAGATGTTGAAGAGACCGAGATAGATAGATAGATGTTGAAGAGACCGAGATAGATAGATAGATGTTGAAGAGACCGAGATAGATAGATAGATGTTGAAGAACCCGAGATAGATAGATAGATGTTGAAGAGACCGAGATAGATAGATAGATGTTGAAGAGACCGAGATAGATAGATAGATGTTGAAGAGACCGAGATAGATAGATAGATGTTGAAGAGACCGAGATAGATAGATAGATGTTGAAGAGACCGAGATAGATAGATAGATGTTGAAGAGACCGAGATAGATAGATAGATGTTGAAGAGACCGAGATAGATAGATAGATGTTGAAGAGACCGAGATAGATAGATAGATGTTGAAGAGACCGAGATAGATAGATAGATGTTGAAAGACCGAGATAGATAGATAGATGTTGAAGAGACCGAGATAGATAGATAGATGTTGAAGAGACCGAGATAGATAGATAGATGTTGAAGAGACCTAGATAGATAGATAGATGTTGAAGAGACCGAGATAGATAGATAGATGTTGAAGAGACCGAGATAGATAGATAGATGTTGAAGAGACCGAGATAGATAGATAGATGTTGAAGAGACCGAGATAGATAGATAGATGTTGAAGAGACCGAGATAGATAGATAGATGTTGAAGAGACCGAGATAGATAGATAGATGTTGAAGAGACCGAGATAGATAGATAGATGTTGAAGAGACCGAGATAGATAGATAGATGTTGAAGAGACCGAGATAGATAGATAGATGTTGAAGAGACCGAGATAGATAGATAGATGTTGAAGAGACCGAGATAGATAGATAGATGTTGAAGAGACCGAGATAGATAGATAGATGTTGAAGAGACCGAGATAGATAGATAGATGTTGAAGAGACCGAGATAGATAGATAGATGTTGAAGAGACCGAGATAGATAGATAGATGTTGAAGAGACCGAGATAGATAGATAGATGTTGAAGAGACCGAGATAGATAGATAGATGTTGAAGAGACCGAGATAGATAGATAGATGTTGAAGAGACCGAGATAGATAGATAGATGTTGAAGAGACCGAGATAGATAGATAGATGTTGAAGAGACCGAGATAGATAGATGTTGAAGAGACCGAGATAGATAGATGTTGAAGAGACCGAGATAGATAGATGTTGAAGAGACCGAGATAGATAGATGTTGAAGAGACCGAGATAGATAGATGTTGAAGAGACCTAGATAGACAGATGTTGAAGAGACCGAGATAGATAGACAGATGTTGAAGAGGCCATGATGGATAGACAGATGTTGAAGAGGCCATGATGGATAGACAGACAGATGTTGAAGAGACCAAAATAGATAAATAGATAGACAGATGTTGAAGAGACCGAGATAAATACCTCATCCCAGAAATATATACTGCTACTGAAGAAGACCAGACTATAAAATGGCTAAAACATTATGAATATGACAATAAAGATGAGGACAATAGTGTGAATAATGTAAATAGTGTAAATAATTACAATACCTCATCTCAGAAATATAGCCAAATTTTAAAGAAGGCCAGTGTACAATGACTGAAACATTGTGAGTGGGAGAGAACTCCTAGCAATTATTGTGTACCACTTACTGTACCTGACACAAATATATCCAACTAAAACTTGTGTCTAGTGAACGTATTTGACATATTAACACAGAAATTAATATAAAATAATAAAATACTAACACAAATTCAGTATTCTATCAACACTACACCATGCATTGTGTCCGACAGCTGATAAACTAAGTGTAAGCACTGACTGAAGCACCATTTAAACCAGGCGACCATGCAGACAACCTGGTATGGTAGATGTGTCATCTATGCCAGGGGTTTTCAAACTGTGGTCCATGGACCACAGGGGGTCCGCAAGGACAAGATAGGGGGTCCGTGGACGGCAAAGACTTTTTTATGGGTGACATGCAACTTATAAGCGCTTATAAATAACTTATAGGCCGATCATGAAATAAATTGATTCAATAAACTATTTCATAGATTTGATATACTAATATAATTTGTATCTTAAATTGATAAAGATAATGGATTCTATTCATGCAGAGAAGGAACCAAAGGATTTGAATTTTGGATCTATTTTGCGATTCCTGTGTGTGTAATTGACAATAAAACTATTTGTTAAATACTATTACTGTTTTCATTTACATGTAAAATTAATATTTTAATATAACAAAATTTAATTTTATTACATTTTGCAGCAACATGCAGCATTAATTTATTTGAACACTTATGTCTAACGTAAGCTTTAAACCTGCTTTTATTGTATTAATGCAAAATTATATGTTATATTCAGCAAATATTTATGTATAAATTTCATAAGCGTTTATAAGGGGGTCCCTAAGGTAAAGCCTGAAATATAAAGGGGTCCGCAAGTCAAAAAGTTTGAAAACCCCTGATCTACGCAATTTCATGATAGTAATTAGGAGTTGATGCTGACTTTAGTGTGTTTATTAGTAAACCGGACAAATTTTAAAAATGTTCACTAAGTTATACCGATACAATATATGGTACCTACTGGTGCATGCTGTAGGTTGTTTGATATACAACACATATAGAAAGATATTATGGTTAGTTTCTGAAGATACAGGTAAGTGATGTAACCTTATGTAGTTTCGGCACAGGTTGTCATATAATGTTGCCTAACTTCATTAGTTTTGGCTGACTGCTAGTCTACTATATGTTTGGGGGTGGGCATAACCTATACAGTATGTACAAGTCTAACTCAGAATTTTGAGGTAAAAATCTTGAGGCCGAATAGACATCAGGTTGACTTGCACGATGCAAATTAATGTTAGCTTTTTTTTCTTCTTTTTTTTCTTTTTACTTTGATTTCATTATGAACACCAACTAAATTCTCCCTGATCAAACAACCAATCAGAGTCCTTTGTTCTGATCATATCTTGGTAAGCCCATCATTTTTATTTTCCTATATTAAGATATAGCATGTCCTCACAAATCTTGAGCTGCTACAAGACAAAATCAAAACCGGACACAGATATGAGTATATTATTGATCTTCCATTTTACAATTCAGGATTTAACATGCAAGTCTTTTTTGAATAATTATTAGAAAATTCACTCCTTTCATTAGCTAAGAATTTCATTTTCCCCATTACTTAACCCATAAATAGGTCTTTTTGTTTAAGAAGGCAGATCAAGCAACATTTTGTTTGTATTTTGAATTTTACAAGATGAACTCACCAGAGATTTATTGTTTCTATAGCATTTTACGTTTTAAAAGGTGAACACCTTAAAAAGCCAAAACCTATCTATTTCTTGACCTGACTTGGGACCAATTATGGCAACTGCCAAGCCATAAGATTTTTTTTTTTCTGACATAACTTTTTAAAATCTATTTTTTAGCTGGATACCATTACATAGCTAAAAGGTGCTTTGTGCACCTTTTAGCTATGTAATGCTAAAACCATTAGTGTGAAGTGAACATTGATCAAGAATTGAACTCATTTCACCAATTCAACCTCCCCACCACTGGGCAACCCCTGAGATTCCCCACATCAAAGTTGACTGGGTACAGGGGTTTCAAAATGATAATCACCAACAATAAACCTACCTTATTTGGTCCAGTCGCATCTAACTGCACAGTGCTAATACCTCGTCCGCTGTCTGTGGATGCTGCAGAGTTTCGGTTGCTATGGACAGGACTGTCTTTAGAGTGTCCACTTGTTGTTCTTATGTCCCCATTGTAGTGACCGAGCAAATGCGGTCGTTCCCCACCATGGTCATTTCCCAGTGGGTTGTTTACTATGACTCGTGCTTGAATAGGCTGAAACAAATAAAAATAAAATTGAGTATTTTATTTCTCTTCACCAAAAATGAAAGCATAATTTTTTTATTTTTTTTTTTTTATACATTTGTGGCAGGTACAGTAAGTGGTACACAATAATTGCTAGGAGTTCTCTCCCACTCACAATGTTTCAACCATTGTACACTGGCCTTCTTCCAAATTTGGCTATATTTCTGAGATGAGGTATTGTAATTATTTACACTATTTACATTATTTGCATTATTGTCCTCATCTTTATTGTCATATTCATAATGTTTCAGCCATTTTATACTCTGGCCTTCTTCAGTAGCAGTATATATTTCTGGGATGAGGTATCTATCTCGGTCTCTTCAACATCTGTCTATCTATCTATCTATCTATCTATCTATCTATCTATTTCGGTCTCTTCAACATCTGTCTGTCTATCTATCATTTTACTCTAAGCAAGGCAATAAAGCTCCCAAGACATAGGAGGGTTACTGAGGGTGAAAGGGAAGATATGTAATGGCAGTGGGAAAGTGACTGCAATCTGGAAGCCAGGTCAGGACCGATAACATTGCAGATTCTTCTTTGGATTTGATCAAAAAGCTCTAAATACATAAATAAAAGTGCCAGACGAGATATAATAGCAATATTCAATATGCAAGGTAGAGTTATGAATGTGCAAGACAGATTCTGATGGTAAAAATTGTCCAGCATGACAGAGTGAGCCGACATTCCTAGCAGTAGGCCTAACAAATATCATTTAATATAAACATTTTAAAGCATCTTGCCAATTAATTGTGACCCCAAAAATCCACCTTGCCAATTAATTGTGACCCCAAAAATCCACCTTGCCAATTAATTGTGACCCCAAAAATCCACCTTGCCAATGAATTCCTATGTCCTCTGAGAAATTGCTTTACCAATACCAATAAAAAAATTAAAATAACATTAAACTAAAAATAGCCGTGAAAATGTCACGGTTTTCCTATCTGAATTTTCTGATGAATCATAATTCTTAAGTCAATGATTGAATTAGCTCATGGTGAGTTCTATAACAATAAAATATCCATAGAAATTCCACTATCACATCGTTAAATATTTGAGCTTAACAACTTTAACAAAATATTACAATAACAAACATAAATATTAATGCTGGTTTTTATTTTAAGAAGCGATTTGAAATTGACATTTTCCACTTCACTGAAACAATCAAACATAAGAAAATGTTATTGACACTTCTTTCTTTCTTTCATTTTCTCACTGAAACCAAATAGTGATTTTTCCCCTTTTTCAACAATGAAAATGGAATAGTCCATTATTTGTGAGGTATTGGTAGGAGATGTTAAACGCTTCTATCATCCCTTTCTCACTGAAATCAAGTAGTGATTTTTCCCCTCTTTCAACAATCAAAATGTAATAATCCATTATTGGTAGGACGTAACAGTTGTATAAACTAACAAAGATAAGTATGAATGCAGGACATTATTTAAAGTAAGAAGGTAAAAATGAAAAGATTTAAAATTGACAAGTTTTTCCATTTCAATGAAGCAGACATTTGTTACACAAGCACCACATTCTCTTGTGGATTAACTTGTTCCTTATAAAGACTTACTGCAAAAACAACTCATAATACACAAAACTAAATACAAAATAAACAACCTATATTAAATATCTTTCATCACAAGAGACAGCATTTTAAAATGCGTATAAAATATATTAGTTTTCTGGTGTTGTCAGGTTATATGAAACCATTCTATCACATATACAATACAGGCGTATTGAAATTTGAATTGTAATGTTTGAAAATATGCCAAGATGTAGCTAACAAATGGCTTGTCTGCAATGCTGACAACATTTAAAATAAATTCTTGCTGTCTAAATATATTTTATATAACATTAAATAATTTCTATCTGACTTTCTGGGATAAGGAGTTATTCTTTACACTTTTTACAGTTGGACTAATTTCCTCATCTTTGTTGTTGTTATCATAACATTTTGGTCATTATGCCCCTCGGCGGCCATCAGCAGGTATATATTGATCCAGGTCATCTACAAGAAATTCCAAACTGTATCCCTTATTTAATCTATGGAAGTAGATTGTTTTTGTTCCACTAATCATGTCAAGAGATATCTAGTCTCATCCTTAATTTATATTTTTGTTCCACTAACCATGTCAAGAGATATCTAGTCTCATCCTTATTTTTAGGACTGTTCAGTTATTGGTCGCTCTGTTTCCACTGTGTCCAAGTACACAGATTGAACTCACAATTAAGTCACCAAATTCATGAACCAACACATTAATCCACTAGATGATTGTCTCATAAGGGATTAAACATTAAATAAGTTTTTAAATTTTTTTAGATCTCGCAAGAGTTTAAAAACTAACATAAACTTTGAGAAAGGAAATAAGGAGAGAGGATGACGATCATGGTGCTCACAGATGAGTGGGTGCCACTGCTGACTAATTGTGCTGCAAGGGATTAAGCATTAAGTTTAAAAAAAAAAAAAAAAATATTGAAGTGCTTGAGAGTTTAAAAAAACTAAGATACTTTTGACACATCTTAGTACTTTTAATAGTACATTCTGTTGTTGAAAAATCATGGCCTTTATCCAACTCACAAATAAAACAGGTTTAAGGGTTAATAAAGTTTGTATACTTTTAGTTTTTTATACTTTTTGGTGCCCCCCCACACACACAGTTTAAAAATAGTTCTCCGCAGCAGATGACTTTCCACCATCTAAACATTTCTAGATTTTTTTTTTAAATCAGCAAAGGGGTCGAGCTGCTGTTTACATGGAGGGACAATCCCAAAGATATTTACCTTGGGGTAAAAATCAAGTATAAATATAAATTAGGGAAGCTAATTAAGCAGAGAATGATTAATTAATTAGAACTTCTCGAAATATCATTATGTAATTGGCAGATGAAATATTAATGAAAAAAAGAAAAGAAAAAACTTTTTATTTTAAAGTATCAGTTCAAGTAAGTGAGAACCTTGAAAATCGAAGGTTCTTTGTAGGTTGGGTGGAGCAGGTTGGTAGTGGGCAGAGAAAATGAGATAAATTTTCATTTTTGTACCTATGAGGCAACACCTGCCCACCAGGTAAAAGTAGATACGCATAAGGAATGGAAAGCTT